TAGAATAAGGAGAGCAAGATAGGCAATAGTTTAGTGTATCAATGGCTGTAGAATAAGGAGAACAAGATAGACAATAGTTTAGTGTATCAACGGTTGTAGAATAAGGAAAACAAGATAGAAATAAGTTTAGTGTATCCAAGGTTGTTTAAAAATAAGGAAAACAAGATAGACAATAGATTAGTGTATCAACGGTTGTAGAATAAGGAGAACAAGATAGACAATAGTTTAGTGTATCAACGGTTGTAGAATAAGGAGAACAAGATAGACAATAGTTTAGTGTATCAATGGTTGTAGAATAAGGAGAACAAGATAGGCAATAGTTTAGTGTATCAACGGTTGTAGAATAAGGAGAACAAGATAGGCAATAGTTTAGTGTATCAATGGTTGTAGAATAAGGAGAACAAGATAGACAATAGTTTAGTGTATCAACGGTTGTAGAATAAGGAGAACAAGATAGACAATAGTTTAGTGTATCAACGGTTGTAGAATAAGGAGAACAAGATAGACAATAGTTTAGTGTATCAACGGTTATAGAATAAGGAGAACAATATAAACAATAGTTTAGTGTATCAACGGTTATAGAATAAGGAGAACAATATAGACAATAGTTAAGTGTATCAATGGTTGTAGAATAAGGTGAACAATATAGACAATAGTTAAGTGTATCCACGGTTGTAGAATAAGGAGAACAATATAGACAATAGTTTAGTGTATCAACGGTTGTAGAATAAGGAGAACAATATAGACAATAGTTTAGTGTATCAACGGTTGTAGAATAAGGAGAACAAGATAGACAATAGTTTAGTGTATCAACGGTTGTAGAATAAGGAGAACAAGATAGACAATAGTTTAGTGTATCAACGGTTGTAGAATAAGGTGAACAATATAGACAATAGTTTAGTGTATCAACGGTTGTAGAATAAGGAGAACAAGATAGACACTAGTTTAGTGTATCAACGGTTGTAGAATAAGGAGAACAAGATAGACAATAGTTTAGTGTATCAACGGTTGTAGAATAAGGAGAACAAGATAGACAATAGTTTAGTGTATCAACGGTTGTAGAATAAGGAGAACAAGATAGACAATAGTTTAGTGTATCAATGGTTGTAGAATAAGGAGAACAAGATAGACAATAGTTTAGTGTATCCACGGCTGTAGAATAAGGTGAACAAGATAGGCAATAGTTTGGTGTATCATCGGCTATAGAATAACGAACGAACTTTATTTTGAAAGGGTCACAAATTGGGCACGCAGGCCCGTCTTACATTCGACCCTTCCAAACACCGTCTTTCACACTGCAGCTGTATTTTATCAATAAGCATGTTATATTTTCATAATAATAAGCATATAATGAATTTAAAAAAAGAGACACAAAAAAAAGCACAAAAGCATGGGTGGTAAAATGCTTGCACCCCCCCCCCCACTCCCCACCCACTCACTTAAACACACCCACATACCTTCACACACACATAAACACACCCCATTCACCCACATACATACCTACATACCCACACAGACACGCAAATTTCACACACATACAAACATACAGATATACACACACAGACACACCCATAGAAGCAAATGCAGACACACACCACAAACATACATACGCGCACATACCTAATGACACACGCAGATACACACACAGACACACACAAACCCACACACAAACAAACCGGCATACACACACAGACACATATGCACAAACACACGCAGACACAAACACACATAGATACACTCGGAGACACACAAACACACACACAACCACAGACACACACACACGCAGGCATTTATACACTTAGGCACACGCACAGATACACGCAGACACACACCTACAGAAACACAAACGCAAACACATACGCAGACATACATATACACACATGTAGACACATCCAAAGACACTACACACAAACAAAAACACACAGACATATTCACACAGACACACACAGAGATATACACAGATATATACACACAGAGACGCGCATATACACAGGCATTCACGCAGACATACATACACACAGGCACATACAAAGACACACACACAAACACAACAAAGACACACACATACAAACACACACGCAGGCAGACACACAGCTATATACACTTAGAACACACATACAAGCAAACACACGCAGAGACACATGTAGACAGAGATACACATACAGACACATACACACAGTCCTACACTCGCAAACACACACATACACGCAAACAAACACACACATACATAGATACACACCCACAGACACCCAATACAAATAACCTTACACACAGAGACGCACATATACACAGGCATTCACGCCAAAACAAATATACACACAGGTACATGAACAGAACAAGATAGGCAATAGTTTAGTGTATCCACGGCTGTAGAACAAGGAGAACAAGATAGGCAATAGTTTAGTGTATCCACGGCTGTAGAATAAGATGAACAAGATAGGCAATAGTTTAGTGTATCCACGGCTGTAGAATAAGATGAAAAAAATAGACAATAGTTTAGTGTATCCACGGCTGTAGAATAAGGAGAACAAGATAGGCAATAGTTTAGTGTATCCACGGTTGTAGAATAAGATGAACAAGATAGACAATAATTTAGTGTATCAACGGCTGTAGAATAAGATGAACAAGATAGACAATAGTTTAGTGTATCAACGGCTGTAGAATAAGGAGAACAAGATAGACAATAGTTTAGTGTATCCACGGCTGTAGAATAAGGAGAACAAGATAGACAATAGTTTAGTGTATCCACGGCTGTAGAATAAGATGAACAAGATAGACAATAGTTTAGTGTATCAACGGCTGTAGAATAAGATGAACAAGATAGACAATAGTTTAGTGTATCAACGGCTGTAGAATAAGGAGAACAAGATAGACAATAGTTTAGTGTATCCACGGTTATAGAATAAGGAGAACAAGATAGGCAATAGTTTAGTGTATTAACGGTTATAGAATAAGGAGAACAAGATAGACAATAGTTTAGTGTATTAACGGTTATAGAATAAGGAGAACAAGATAGGCAATAGTTTAGTGTATCCACGGTTATAGAATAAGGAGAACAAGATAGACAATAGTTCAGTGTATCCACGGTTATAGAATAAGGTGAACAAGATAGACAATAGTTTAGTGTATCCACGGTTGTAGAATAAGGAGAACAAGATAGACAATAGTTTAGTGTATCCACGGCTGTAGAATAAGGAGAACAAGATAGGCAATAGTTTAGTGTATCAATGGCTGTAGAATAAGGAGAACAAGATAGACAATAGTTTAGTGTATCCACGGCTGTAGAATAAGGAGAACAAGATAGGCAATAGTTTAGTGTATCCACGGCTGTAGAACAAGGAGAACAAGATAGGCAATAGTTTAGAAATTGAAGAAGAAATTGAAACTGTCACAAACTTTGAATATCTAGGCTCTATAATAAATAGCAATGGAGACTTTCTGACAGAAATAAAAAAAAAAAAAAAAAGGATGGCCATAGCAATGTAAATATTAAAAAGCCTTAAAAGTCTTTGGTTAAGCCCAAGCAAGAATATCAAAATAGGAATTCTGAGAGCATGCATCTTCCCTGTAGCAACATATGGATGTGAATCATGGACTATCTCCCAGTTCTCAAGAAAGAGAATAGGGACTTTTGAGCTGAAATGCTATAGAAAGATTATAAGAATATCTTGGACAAAGAAGAGAAATGACATCATGAAAGAACTGAATATCACCCAGCATCCTGTCTCGGAAGTGGAAATATTTTGGTTGGATCAAACGCCACAACGGATTGGAAAAAATTATAGCAAAAGGCATGGTACCAGGAAGGAGGGGCAGGGGCCGACCGACACGAAGATGGGCACATGACATAAGTGACTCCTTGAGTATGAAAGTACATGAGGTGGGAGAGCTGGCGAGAGACCTAGTTTCTTTCAGGCAGACCGTGATGAGAGCGACGTTCTGCAAAGGACCTGCTACATGATGATGATTATTATTTTATTCATGTATGTGCTGATGAAGGCTTCATAGCCTCAACGTTCACGTTTTGTTTGTGTTCGTTATATTGTTAAGCTTGCTGGCATATTTTTTGTTCGGTTTTATATCTTTTCTTGGGTTGGCAGACAGATTTACACCCCTTGCCACGACAAACTGTGTGCTCAAACACGGCCAGCTCCAGATTTTTGATTCTGAGAGGATATTGTTGCATCAGAGGAGCGGGGGAAGGGGAGGGGGAGGGGAGATATTTGTACTTTATCAAATTTTGCGCATAAAAATACTGCTATGAAACATGCACATATCATACATAACATAGATATAAATAATTAATGGTTATTATTATTATTATTAGTAGATTACTACAACATATAATTATATTGTTATTTGAAAATGAGTAAACAAGCACAATCAGTATGAAATTGATATGTGCAATACTTTTTCACCCAGAGTAGTTTTCTTAACAGTACTTCTAGATCTACTAAATATGTATCCTCAAGGTACAAACAGCACAAACAAATTTGTCCAGTTTCATCTTGTTGGATGAAATCAATTCCTCACCATTGCGAATTTTTCGGTAACAAATATGCAAGGGAAGTGGATGAACAACCAGAAGTTTCTGCAAGAGTTTACAGCCAGTGTTCGCGAAGCAAAGCAAAAGCCAGTTTACAAAAATTAACAGTTTTAATACCATGAAGAGTTTCTACAGAACAGAACAGCATCTTGTTTTTTTTTTTCCAACATCAATTTTGTCTTCTCTTATTAACAGTAAAGGAATTCAGTTCAACATACGCATACACAAACACACAAGTTCACTTCTCATTTTAGGTGCGTGCATGTGTGAGTGTGTGAGTGTGTAGGTATGTGAGCACAAATTTGCGTCTGTATGTTTTTATTAAAGTTGTGCATGTGTTATGGCTGGTTTCTATGTTTCTTGTTTGCCAATATTTATGTAGTGTTTGCTTGTTGTTACATATTTGTCTGACTGACATTGCATGTCTCCCGGCAAACCTCTGCCACCCTTACAGGTTGTGCAAGGTTCCAGCCCCCGGAGCACGAGGTGGGGGAGTACAAGTGTACCTTCAATCACAACAGGTGCGACTTTGTGTGTCGGCTCATCTGTCCGCGACAGAAAAATGGCCTGTGGATGACCTTATCCAACGTAAGTTGGTGTGTGTGTGTCCCACTTATTGGTGTCTCAGTTATTGGTGTCCCACTTAATGGTGTCCCACTTAGTTGTGCCCTATTTTTTCTGCTTCTTCGCGTTCACCAGCTGTAAACTTCGGCGGAAAGTTCTGTTTGTTCGTCCACTTCTGGATGGCAGTCCTGTTCCAGAACCTGAGTTTTGCGTGTGTATCCCTTTTACAGATCTGACACATTTTAATGCAGACTGCTGGTTCCTTGCTGGTTCAGGCAGATGCACCCCGACTTCGAAGAATGCTCCAAATTAGTCGACTCTTACGACATGTTTTTTTTTTGGTGGGCAGTGGGTCTATTCTTGTTTTCCCTAAAATAGGGTCCCGGAACCCACGCGGGGGTTATGCCCTACTTATTTCTAACCCTATCAGATGTCTCCTAGTCTGGTATGAATTTGATATTTACACGTAAGTTTATGTGTGCACATTTGTATGTAGATTTTATATGTTCATGTGTCCCGATTGTATGTGTATCGTATTTATGCACATATTTATATGTAATACTTGAACGTGTCTGGTATATATGCACATATTTAAGTGTAATATTGTCTCGTATTTATGCACATATTTATGTGTAGTTCTTGAATGTGTCTACCATTTATGCATATATTTATGTTTAATTCGTATCGGGGTCCCTTACGTTGGTTCCCGTGTGTGTCACATTTGTGTGAATATCATATGTATGTATGTGCACATGGTATAATGGTTCAACTTGTATGTGCCCTATGTGCCCTATGATATAAGACCCATATAACTCCCAAGTCTGCAAGCTCCCTGTTTATGTATTTCGTCTGTGTACTTGGGTATTTATCTATTTTCGTAAGTGCATCACTTTGTCGCTAACTCCTCATGGAAATACACTAGAGTAGTGAGTTCATATATTTAACTGCATTAGCTCTATATAGGATATACACTAGAGTAGTGAGTTGATATATTTAACTGCATTAGCTCTATATAGGATATACACTAGAGTAGTGAGTTCATATATTTAACTGTATTAGCTCTATATAGGATATACACTAGAGTAGTGAGTTCATATATTTAACTGCATTAGCTCTATATAGGATATACACTAGAGTAGTGAGTTGATATATTTAAATGTATTAGCTCTATATAGGATATACACTAGAGTAGTGAGTTCATATATTTAACTGCATTAGCTCTATATAGGATATACACTAGAGTAGTGAGTTCATATATTTAACTGTATTAGCGCTATATAGGATATACACTAGAGTAGTGAGTTGATATATTTAACTGCATTAGCTCTATATAGGATATACACTAGAGTAGTGAGTTCATATATTTAACTGCATTAGCTTTATATAGGATATACACTAGAGTAGTGAGTTCATATATTTAACTGCATTAGCTCTATATAGGATATACACTAGAGTAGTGAGTTCATATATTTAACTGTATTAGCTCTATATAGGATATACACTACAGTAGTGAGTTGATATATTTAACTGCATTAGCTCTATATAGGATATACACTAGAGTAGTGAGTTGATATATTTAACTGTATTAGCTCTATATAGGATATACACTAGAGTAGTGAGTTCATATATTTAACTGCATTAGCTATATATAGGATATACACTAGAGTAGTGAGTTCATATATTTAACTGTATTAGCTCTATATAGGATATACACTAGAGTAGTGAGTTCATATATTTAACTGTATTAGCTCTATATAGGATATACACTAGAGTAGTGAGTTCATATATTTAACTGTATTAGCTCTATATAGGATATACACTAGAGTAGTGAGTTGATATATTTAACTGCATTAGCTCTATATAGGATATACACTAGAGTAGTGAGTTCATATATTTAACTGTATTAGCTCTATATAGGATATACACTAGAGTAGTGAGTTCATATATTTAACTGCATTAGCTCTATATAGGATATACACTAGAGTAGTGAGTTGATATATTTAAATGTATTAGCTCTATATAGGATATACACTAGAGTAGTGAGTTCATATATTTAACTGCATTAGCTCTATATAGGATATACACTAGAGTAGTGAGTTCATATATTTAACTGTATTAGCGCTATATAGGATATACACTAGAGTAGTGAGTTGATATATTTAACTGCATTAGCTCTATATAGGATATACACTAGAGTAGTGAGTTCATATATTTAACTGCATTAGCTTTATATAGGATATACACTAGAGTAGTGAGTTCATATATTTAACTGCATTAGCTCTATATAGGATATACACTAGAGTAGTGAGTTCATATATTTAACTGTATTAGCTCTATATAGGATATACACTACAGTAGTGAGTTGATATATTTAACTGCATTAGCTCTATATAGGATATACACTAGAGTAGTGAGTTGATATATTTAACTGTATTAGCTCTATATAGGATATACACTAGAGTAGTGAGTTCATATATTTAACTGCATTAGCTATATATAGGATATACACTAGAGTAGTGAGTTCATATATTTAACTGTATTAGCTCTATATAGGATATACACTAGAGTAGTGAGTTCATATATTTAACTGTATTAGCTCTATATAGGATATACACTAGAGTAGTGAGTTCATATATTTAACTGTATTAGCTCTATATAGGATATACACTAGAGTAGTGAGTTCATATATTTAACTGCATTAGCCTTAAATATAGGATATACACTAGAGTAGTGAGTTCATATATTTAACTGCATTAGCTCTATATAGGATATACACTAGAGTAGTGAGTTCATATATTTAACTGTATTAGATCTATATAGGATATACACTAGAGTAGTGAGTTCATATATTTAACTGTATTAGCTCTATATAGGATATACACTAGAGTAGTGAGTTCATATATTTAACTGTATTAGCTCTATATAGGATATACACTAGAGTAGTGAGTTCATATATTTAACTGCATTAGCTCAATATAGGATATACACTAGAGTAGTGAGTTCATATATTGAACTCTATTAGCCCTATATAGGATATACACTAGAGTGGTGAGTTCATATATTTAACTGCATTAGCTCTATATAGGATATACACTAGAGTAGTGAGTTCATATATTTAACTGCATTAGCTCTATATAGGATATACACTAGAGTGGTGAGTTTATATATTTAACTGCATTAGCTCTATATAGGATATACACTAGAGTAGTGAGTTCATATATTTAACTGCATTAGTTCTATATAGGATATACACTAGAGTAGTGAGTTCATATATTTAACTGTATTAGCTCTATATAGGATATACACTAGAGTAGTGAGTTGATATATTTAACTGCATTAGCTCTATATAGGATATACACTAGAGTAGTGAGTTCATATATTTAACTGTATTAGCCCTATATAGGATATACATTAGAGTAGTGAGTTGATATATTTAACTGAATTAGCTCTATATAGGATATACACTATAGTAGTGAGTTCATATATTTAACTGTATTAGCTCTATATAGGATATTCACTAGAGTAGTGAGTTCATATATTTAACTGCATTAGCTCTATATAGGATATACACTAGAGTAGTGAGTTGATATATTTAACTGTATTAGCTCTATATAGGATATACACTAGAGTAGTGAGTTCATATATTTACCTGTATTAGATCTATATAGGATATACACGAGATAAGTGAGTTCATATATTTAACTGTATTAGATCTATATAGGATATACACTAGAGTAGTGAGTTCATATATTTAACTGCATTAGCTCTATATAGGATATACACTAGAGTAGTGAGTTCATATATTTAACTGTATTAGATCTATATAGGATATACACGAGATAAGTGAGTTCATATATTTAACTGTATTAGATCTATATAGTATATACACTAGAGTAGTGAGTTCATATATTTAACTGCATTAGCTCTATATAGGATATACACTAGAGTAGTGAGTTGATATATTTAACTGTATTAGCTCTATATAGGATATACACTAGAGTAGTGAGTTCATATATTTAACTGCATTAGCTCTATATAGGATATACACTAGAGTAGTGAGTTCATATATTTAACTGCATTAGCTCTATATAGGATATACACTAGAGTAGTGAGTTCATATATTTAACTGTATTAGCTCTATATAGGATATACACTAGAGTAGTGAGTTCATATATTTAACTGCATTAGCTCTATATAGGACATTCTAATAAAATGATCACTAGTGAAGAACGGCTAAAACATCAAGCTTGTGACAACATATCAAGGCAAACATTCTGGCCAAGAGAAACATCGTGCAAGCTAAACTTTACAGGTGCTGAGTGAGTTACAACAGACATACTATAGACAACATTGCAGATACGAATAATTTTTTTGAAGCGAACGAAAAAAGAAGAAGAAGATTTAAAAAAAAAAGATAATTCATTAAATTTCAATTTAACCTTGAAAATTCATATAGACTAGAAACAAACATGAAAACTTCTATTAGGATGTGGAGTAATTTGATAGTTCCCTACTATAATTGATAAATGTCCGCGAATAGAAAGTAATAAAAACACACACATAAGCAGAGAGACATTTGAGATTTCAGGAAATAAAGGTTGAAAATACTCTCGTTTATCTACTTACTTACTTTTACTTTTTCCTTCCACGTATGCCGCTAAGCGTTGTGGGGAGATGCAAGTTCCTGTCATAAGCAAGGCGGGCAGCATCTGATGTTCTGAGGCCATGCTTTTGGCAGGTTTCGGAGACCCCGTCAATCCACAGTTTCCTTGGTCTTCCTCTTGCCTTATATCCTGAGCTTCTTTGGTTGAAAATTTGTGATGTTATTTGATCATTTTTCATCCTGGTTAGATGTCCAAACCATTTCATTCTTTGATGTTCTATGTAGTCTAAACATGGTGTAGTTTTGACAGTGTTTCTAATGTCTATATTCTTTATCCTGTCTAGTCTGGTCTTATTCGCTGCTTTTCTTAGACATTTCATTTCACAGACTTCTATTTTTCTTTCATGGGTCTTGTTGATTG